CTTCCCATTCCAGGAGGAAGATGAAAACTTCCCACATCTGACCAGAAGCAGAGGCACAGAAATCCCCCTGGGGCAGCAGAACCTTCCATCCCTGCAGCTGGCCCCGACATAGAGGGCACAGCAGCTCAGCCCCGATGTTAACTTCTCCCCATCCCTCTCAAAGCCCAAGACAGGCCAGGCAGCAGCCCCCATGTCCCACCCCAGCTCCTTTCTTCTGAGCTGTTCCTGTCTCTCTGAGAGCCAAGCTGGCAGTGCTTTGGTTTGAGAAGGGAAGCAAGGAGGACAGATGCATCCCAGCTTTGCTTTCCCACTGAATTTGAGGAGATACAAGAGGGACCTTCCCCTCCCTGGCCATCACTGTGTGGTGGGACACTTACCCTTTTTGCACACTGGCAGAGGTGGGCTCCATCTGAAGTCAGCTTTGCACGTGCTCGTGCGAGAGCCCTTCAAGGTGTAGCCTCTGTTGCACGTGAAGGTTATGGTGTCCCCGGTCCTATAGAAACCATGAGTGATGGACACTGTCCTCCCATACCGGATGCGTGGGAATGGGCATCGAGTAGCTGGAAAAGAGAGAGAAAGAAAACGTTGACCTACACAGCTCTAAATGTGGTGGCTGCTGTGCTGGTGATGTCCTCGCAGCCCATCGATCCCTGGCTGATGGGACACAGCAGAGGCTGCAGCCAGGGTGGGTGCTCCTGGGGCTGTGGGGCTGCTCCCTGCAGTAGCACTCTAGTGATAATTATTTAAAAAACAAACAAACAAAGAAAAAAACCCCCAACCCATAACCCAACCCTCCATAGTCACTGATGTTTGACTCCCCACCTGCCACTGGGCCACCGTGGCCAGCTGAGGCAGGAAGATCAGGGTCAGCCTTTGCTCTCTCAAGGTGCCAGTGAATAATTGACATGATGGAGGACACAGGCAGAAGCCTTCTCCACACAATACCAAAACACTTCTCAAACCTTGCCAGGGCAGCCAGGTTACAGCACCTTGTGCTGATAAGATGGGAAGGGACAAACGAAACCACACTGCAGCGATGGAGCCAAGTTTCTGTAAGTTTTGGCTTTTCTACCCCAAACGAGAGGGCACCTCTGGCTACCTGCCAGGCTTTCGTGCCCTGCAGGCTTTCAGACCAAGCATGCCCGACGGCACAACGCCTTTCTGTACGTCACAGCAAGTTTCAACTTGACAGAGCTCAAACACAGTTTATTATTGGAACAGATCTTCGTGTCAGTGCCATCAGACGCTGTATCTATAAACAGCTTTACTTTGGCAGCTTAAACACAGAGGTCGAGCCCCTTGTTACGAGAAGCTGGGCAGGTTGTGAAAGACACTCCACTGCCTCCCGTAACGAGGTTGCTATTCCATTTCCCCGGCCACTGAAGGGCACAGGGGGGCCCTGGGGCTGTCCCAGAGGGTCTTCTTCATTTGCAGAGCAGCTCAGAGGCTCTGTGATGCCGAAGTCCACCTGGGACCAGCACAGGGCTCCCACCTACCTCTGCAGGGAAAAGCAAAAGGATCAGCGAGGAGAGGAGCAGCAATGAGGAAGAGGAGGGCCATGAGAGGATGGCCCCAGAGGCACAGGTCTCTCTTACCTGGAGCCCCAGCCGTGGTGGCCAGGAGCAAAGCAGAGCTGCCCAGGATGCGGAGGGTGATGGCGAGCACCATGCTCCGGTCCCCAGTGCAGACTGTGGATCCCGAGGGGCTGCTGGAAGATATGGGCACCCCAGTTCCCCCCACCACACCCCGTGTGCGGAAGGAGCCACAGCTGTGGGGTTTCCCGTGGCCATGGGACAGGAAACCGTGGGCTCCCCAGCACGGGGTGGGTGCAGCCATCACCCCTGGGAAGCTGCAGGTCCCACACGCTGCTTCTGCTGAGATTTTTGGCAGAGGAGGATGGGCCCCTGGGACCCACCATGTGGTCTGTGGGTGTCTGTGAAAGATGGGTGCGCGCAGGCAGGTGCCCTTAGCCAGACGATGAACAGCATCCTCGGTTAGGGGACAGTGACAGCAGCACTTCCCAGGAACCAGCTGAAGGGACACGGCTCACCTGCCCGCGTACGGGAAGGGCAGAGCTGGGCATTCCATCCTCCCACACCTGGGACCAGTGACAGCTGGGGACACGTCTGTCCCTCAGGGTTGTGGGTGCTGGGGCCAGGGGGCACAGGGTGCAGCCCAGCCCCACACATCACCTGGAGCTGTGGACCGAAATCCTCCCGACCCAACCCTGGCTGCTCCATGACTCCTCCAACCTGGTGTCATTCCCTGGCTGGAAGAATAAAAATCCACAGACGGGACTTTTTGGGGTAGGAGCACCCACAGCAACCTCCAGCTCCCCACCTCCCACAGGGAGGATGATATCTGAGCCCAAAACAAGCAGCAAGATGTGCATCACTCAAGTCTTTTTATCCCTTTTATTGACAGAGAGCTTCCAATATTTACACAGCCAACATTCGTCCTTCAGAATTGCACTTGATGATGGGTTACACTCAGATTAAAAATTAAAACTATGTACAACTCGATTCCAAATACAGCAGATAAGCCCTCTTCAACAGTAAACTCTGGTGATCACACCCTTCTGCTATGTCACAGCATTCACAGTTCCTTCCATTTGGTTGCAAGATCATTTCAAGCTGATCCCCAAATCAGGTGTTAAATCATTTGGAAAAAAAACCCACTCCAGCTTACGCAGTAGGAACAATCGTGCTGGGATTAAAATGACAAAACAGAACACAACAGTGAGCTACGAGGCTTTACATTTGTGTTTTCTTCATCCAGTCACTCACGTGGCTTACGGTAAAAGATCTATAAAAATAACCAACAATCTGCAAGTGCTTGTTCTGCAAGACTGGCTTCTGAAAACAGCATCTTGTGGTGCCCCGAAGACAGCTGAGCAGGACAGTGCTCTGCTGCAAAGGGAGAACTTTGTGGGTCTATTTGGAAGATGACTAATGTGTTGATGGAAATTACTATTTGTGTTTTTTCCCTCTAATTAGATCATGTTCCTATTATCAGGAAAGCACTGGTGAAAATGCAGAAACAAAAAGTAGGTAGTAGACACATTTTGAATATTTCCCGTTCCCAACTGTGCATCGGGAGAAGCTCACAGATGGATCATTTACGTCTGCATCAGACAAAACCCTGAACCTCAAAATCTTGCTTTCCCAGCAGCTAAAAGTCCCAGTGTCTCAAGCTGGATTCAGGCAACAGCTGAATACAAGTTTAAATCCTATCACAGTTTTGTTTCCCTTATAAATAGGATTCCCAGGAAGCCTCCAAGTCTTTACTTCATTTTATGAGATGCTGCCTGTCTCTTTAGCTTATTAAATGATCGTTTAGTGAGGCTGAGTTAAAACCAGGAAAGGACACCACCACCACCACAACGTGGACTAGGTTGGATGAGGCTTTGAGCAACCTGCTCTAGTGGAAGGTGTCCCTGCTGATGGCAGGGGGGTTGGAACTGGATGAGCTTTAAGGTCCCTTCCAACCCAAACCATTCTATGATTCTATGACTTGCTATCAGCCAGATGAATCAAGGGCACTTTTGCTCGTATCTTTGGTTTAGACAAGGTGAGTGAGGTCCCATCACCTGAGCTGTCCTCGTGGCACCACCAAACCCTGCCTTGAGCTGGGGACAGCCACCTCGCTCACCTCCACCCACCCTTGCAAACCCATCCTCAACACAACGATGAACTAGGTCAGGTCAGACAGGATGGAAACAAAGTGCATAAAAGATGTGGGGTTTGTATCCCTTTCCCCACGGAGGAGTAAATTAAGGCTTGATGTGCATCTGCACCTACTGTGGGTGCAGCATCAGAGCACCAGTCACCCTGTGCAACCAAAACAAAATGACAAGGCAAAAGAACTTCTTTTCCTCCTCAGCATCACAGCAGCCCCGAGGGCTGAGCTGTCCCAGGGCTGAGCTGGCACCCAGCTGACCCGCAGTGGGAGCCAACATAGTCAGGGTGCACAGCACCACCTGAAAAAGCTTTTTAAGTGCAAATTCAAACAGTGATTTCCCAGCATCAGAGTCCCCCCAGGCAGGAGACATTTGAGCAGAAAGTGAAGCATTCGAGCAGAAAGTGAAAAGCTTCACACACAGCGACTTTCTGATGTTTGGTGGCATCTGCCAAGACACCTGCGAGTTCTGCATCCAGCCCAGACACACCTGCCTGCAGAGCCGCTCCACTGCCCCCAGCACCCACCCAGCTGGGTTCCTCCTGGGGCTTTCTGCCCACTGAAAGCTTCACCACTTCAAGAGGAGCACTGAGTCACTGCAGGGACAGGGACAGGGACAGGAAGGGCGTTTCCACAAGGTACTCGCATGAAAACCTCAACACAACACAAAGATAGCGGCAGGGCAGAGACCTTCAGCTGAATTTTGAAACTCATTTGAGTACCTAGAGGAAGAGTCAAATAATAGTCCTTTGTAATAAGGCAGTTCATTTTTCTTCTCTCTGGTAAAGTTACTGATCTGTAAGGATTTCTATTTGCCCCATGGTTCAGACTGGCCTTGAAGTAACAGCTACAACTGCGCTTTCATATGAACGTTTTCAATGCTTTCCGTGCCCACAGATAATACCCGACTTACGCGTCCTTTTTGCATTAAACTTCATTTTTTCAAGTCTATATCACTCACACAAAGACATTCACCGTTATCCTCTTGGCAGCAGCAGCACTTTCCATCTCAGAACACTTAAGAAATCCCCAAATCCTGATCATGACCAGGCACAACATGACTTTAGTAGGGTGGAAAAACTGCAGGTGTGGAAGTACCCAAAGCGCAGGATTTTCTTGAGTCTACTCTAGTGCAGCACGAAGGTTTTTGGGTGCAGCCAGAAGCAGGAGAGCTTCCTGGGCAGCTGTGGGAGTGTCTGGGCTGTCTCACCCAAGGCTGGTCGGTTGTGGATTCAAGGCCAGTTCCACAGGAGGGAAAAGCAGAGCACTGGGATCAAGTCCAACACTTCTACAGGTGCCTCCCACTGTGCCCGTTCTCTAATCTAGATGTTCATAACCAGCATTGCCAGGAGGAGGGGCAAGATTCCTACAAGAGACAAATAAGATGCTTCAGTCATCACTTCAAACATATTCAACTGCCTTTTCCTTCCCTGGTCACTTTTACCTTCCCCACTCTTTTCACTACCTGATCTTAAAGCAACAACAATATAAATATGACAGGAGACTGCAGCAGAAACCCACTGCAAGCAGAACACACAGGAGACAATAACAAAGAGAGGCAAGAGCACGGCCCAGGGGTTCAGGAATACGTGTTACTTACCAACAATGATGATGTTTGCTCCACCTGGAAAGGAAATGAGCCAAAATGTGAAACTCTGCACCCGTTCAGCACGGTAATTCAGCAAATTACACAACATGCAGTATCTCAAATCAGAGTCAAAGCACATGGACAACAAGTCAAGCACCACACAGAACAGGAGCCCTGCACAGCCCAACTCCACAGATGTCTATCTGCTAAAACCCAGATGTATTTACCAGGATACATCACCACCAGCCTGCGAGTTCATGCTGTGACCTAATCATGCTCTTTTGGCACTAGATTTTAAACTAGTGTTTCAGGAAGCATGGAAGGTTTACTCCTTATCAGAATTATCTGATTTGGGGATTCACAGAGGAAGGAAAAACGAGGTGTTATGAAGACAGAGAGGAGGCAGCAAGACAAGACACAGGAGATGATCACCTCTGCATTCAGGAGGGGGCTTGTTCCAGACTCCACTGTATTGATCTCTTGCAATACACTGAAGAAAAGCCTCCCCAACAAGGATGAAGCCATCATTGCATTTGTAAGCTACAGTGGAGCCGTGGACAAACTCTGTGTCCTTTCCACCATTGTGCATCCCATTGTCGATTGTGGGGGGCTCTCCACAGAGAACGTCAGGGAACTGCCCTACAGGAGGAACATCAACAAGAGTGTCTGAGTACTTCTAACTGAAAAGGTGAAGAGATGTATGGGGAGAAGGAGGTACAGCCAAATGCCACGCAGCTAGCAACAACTGAAAACACTTGGAGCTTTGTTGCTTGGTAGTGGACCTCAGTCACTGCCCATTAGCCACAACTCCAGGATCTCACCCCATGAAATAATTTTCTTCTAAATAATAATTTTCCTAATCAGGCTAGAAGAAATGTTTCAGCCATGTCTAGCTTCACATAACACTATACACTGACTTCATAACACTCAATTTCAACATTATACCAAATTAAGTGCACAGATAACATCTAATTATCTTCACCTTTCCTTGGTAACCAGAGAAAGAAACTTTCCTCCTGTGACTGTTTTTTTTTTCCCTCTGATTTCTGCTTTCTTGCTCCTTCCACTTTGCCAGCATAATTTCTGAATTGTATGAGAATATTACACCTAAGACCTCACAGCAGGAGTTACTATTGAAATCCTGAATTTTACAGTTGATTGAATTAAGAAGCATAAGTAAGAGCAGCCCAAGCCCACCAGCAAGGCAGATACACCAGCACAGTCCCAACTATTATCTTAATGGCTCTGTGCAGAGATTTCCCCTCTCACTTTTACAGTATGGAGGTGCTGTATCCCAGTCAACTCCATCTCCTGATACCACGCACTTGGCAGAAGATTTCTTTAATTCATACCTGAAGAAGGAGAAGTAGTTTAGTACTCTCCAGAAGACACCCAGAAAGGGTTCTTCCCCCACCTCCCCACTTCTGCATGCAGCAAAATTATTAACCAGAACTTGCCTTTGCTGTGAAATGGAATCTGACCACATCAAAGCCACTCAATAAGGGCACTAATAAGCACCAAACTGTAGCAGGTCACTGCATGACCAAGCACACGTGTCACCATGTGCTCATCTCACTGAAGACATAATATATGGTCTCACTGGGAAACCAGGGAGGGAGGTGGGGGTGTGGATGTTACTGCCTGTGATCTCTGTCTTCTGACCGCCGAGTTGGTCCCTTTTAAGCAGTGACCTACTCACCCAGAATGACAGATGAATGTCACGACTGTCTCAAACAAGAAATTGTCTGCAATCACATCCCCGTTCTCTATCATGGGATGAGGACATTCCTGTCCTAGAGGAAAAGGAAGCAGCACGGGAATTACTTCAGACCCAAACTTCAGAGTAACGTCTCAGTTGTGTGCAGATCACTCATACAGTCAGGCAAGACAGGAGAGGAACAGAGATACTCACGTATACAGAAGTCTGGGTCTGCAGACCAAGTTCCATCACTCAGACAAGTGACAACAGAGGACATTCCATGTGCTGCAGTATAACCCGGTTTACATCGATACATCAGCTTAGTTCCAGCAAGAGAGCTGTCACCTACAGCCCTTTCACTCTCAGCAAAAAGGAACTGTGGGGCAGGACCACAGTAGACTAAGAATGGGAGACAAAAGCAAGGTTAGCCACAGAAGAGCATCTAAAGGATCTGCAATAACAACAGGGAACTGCCTGGTTTGGAGCACACGGTGTTTTCATAGAACCATAGAAAGATTCTTTTGGAGCACACAACATTTTAACCTGTTTGAATGTCAGTGTCTGGGATACACTTTGCATCCAACCCACCTAGCAAACAGCAACATCTCCCACCATTTGCTTAACTGGAGAAAAGATAAAGGACTGATGGTGGTCCTTCACTGACCACCACCCCAACCTGCAGCACCAGCTCAGCTCAGAAGCCAGACATCCCCAGCAGGTATGGAAGCTGGTGAAATAAGCCTGTCTGGTGTAGAAGGCAGTTTTGTCTCTGCTTTAAGTGCACTTTTGAATCATTTGCAGTTCACAAATAAATAGCTCCAGGTTTAAATATCTAACCAGCCCAGACCACCACACCAAGGACCCAAGCCAGCGTGCTCTGGAGGGCAGGGCTACAAGTGCACGAGGTTCAGAACCTGATCTGCTCAACAGCTCTTAGACCTACTTCAAGTGCCATTGCTCAAGGAAGTAAACTTGTACTCACTTGGGTCACATGTTGGCAGAGGTGGCTTCCAGGTACTGTCTGCTTCACAGGTAACAACACCACTACCATTGAGCAAGTGACCAGGATTACACCCAAAGGTCACTGTATTCTTATACGTGTGCTTAGTGCCAAAGCCAGACAATCTTTTCCCATTTTTCACTTTTGGATTTTCACATCTGACCACTGGAAGTGAAGACAATCAGAACAGGTATTACAAGAAGGAAAAGCCCTGCAGTGACACCAGAGGCATTACACTAAGAGAAGAGCTGCCCTTTCACTCTGAGAGAGGCAGGTCCCCCATGAGGTGCAAGACTCCGTGAACAGAAACATCATTAGGAAACTGCACGTGTGAGAGCTTCACTTGCAGGAAGCCCTGGGCATGGGCAGGGAGAGGGATATTTTCTGTGGGCTGAAGAATCCATCAAATCAAGCCCTGTCTCTGACCATAACTTGGGAGTTCAGTGCATTAAGCCTTCTGGGAATCCTTTTAGACTCAAATAAACCTTCTCATGTTTGACAGCCCCTCAGGAAAGTGCAGATCAGGAGAAAGTACAGATATTTTTTTCTTCTTTTTTTTTCCCTTTTTTTTCTTTTTTTTCTTTTTTCTTTTTTTTTTTTTTGAGAAACAAAGTCAAAAGAATAAGGCAAGAAAGAAAACATTTACCTTTGCATTCAGGGGCTGGACCGCTCCACATTCCCTCGAGGTTATCATCCACCGTACAGTGAATTGTGGCATTTCCAATAAGAGCAAAATCTCTGTCACAGCTGTAGCTTACAGCCATGCCAAAGGTGAAGTCTCTGTCTCCGTTGATGAGCTGCCCATTCTCAATCACAGGAGGTGGTGAACAGGGGATACCTGCACGAGAAAACAACAGCAAGAAAATGTAAGAACATTTGTCTGACAGGAAACATAACAAGAGTGATGAGGTGTCTGCACCAGCCCAGCAGAAAGCTTGCTGAGCACCCGGGCAACACCAACCAACAGCCTCACGAGCTGCTTTTCTTGCAGATCTGACTACAGAGCTGCTGCCAACATCCCCAGATCCTCCTCAGTAATTAATTTTCATTCCCAGCTTCAGCGAGAGTGCTTGTTTGGGGGAGGGGTAAGGAGTCAGTCTCATTAAAGGCTGATGCAATTAGGTGCCAAAAAGAGAGAATCCACCTGCCCTTCCCCAGCTACCAGATATATTGAAATAGCTCCTAGGAAGAGATGTGCACAAACCATTTAAGATCTGCTTACTGTCACACTCTGGAATGTTATCCCAATAAACTTCTTTGTCTTTAAGTACACATTGTGCAGACGGCTTCCCAACTAATCGGTACCTAAGAAAAGAAAAGGTTGAATCTCTTTGAAAAAAAATGAAAAAAAACCCCAACTTGGGAAATTCAGGAAGTTGTACAGTTTCTAACGATATTCTCTGGAGGAGCTGAACCCCAGGGGACACAGCTAGCCCTCCTATCCAACACAACTTTCTCAATATCTTGCCAAGGAAACAGCCCCCAGATATTAAAAGCCTCCAAGTGTCCCATGGGTGCTGTCTCCAGCCTCAGCTCCATCAACTCTCCTGGAGCCTGGGCCAACACTTACCCGATGTTACAGGTGTAGGTGATCGTTGCCCCAAACAGGAGGTTGGTTGTGTAGTTGAACTTGCCATTCCTGATGTCCGGTAGACCACACGACTTTCCTGCAAGGGCAAGTGATCAGCAGCAGTAACTTTATTTTATACCATGACAGTGAAACACGGGTAACCGTGTCCTTACAGACCAACTGACCACTTATCAGGCACCCAACTTCCCTCACGAGCAAGTACCAGCACTTTCAGAAAAGATACAAGATCCACATTAACTACTGAGGAACTAAAAGTTAAAACATAAATAACAAGCAAATAAAAGCACAAATAAAGCTAAAGAGAAATAAAAAAGCACCACATTTGATATGCTTACTGGGAAAGGAAACTGACAGAGAGCCCAGTGGGCTCAGGGCAGGGGTCTGGGTCTGTAGGGGAACAGCACAAAGGAGATGGGGATGGGGAGGGACCTGCTGACCACCCTGGGGCCAGCAAAGCTGCATCACCACGGGGACAGACTCCCACAGCCTCTTCCACACCATAACATGCTTCTGTGCCAATGTATGGTGGCACTGACACTATGTCACCAGCTGGCAAAGAAATCAGCAAGGGCAGAAATCATCTCCTGGAGAGGAATGGTTCTAAGGGGAAAGGGCAGCCCTGGGCAGGAAGGTGGGGTGAGCAGGTCTGCACAACTGTCCTAAAAATGGAAACTTGGGAATGTCCTCAACAGGGATGAACTGTGAGTGGGGTCTGGGGCAATGGGGGCTGTGCCCCCCATCCCAATGCCAGGAGCCAGTGATGGAGAGTACCCACCGATGCAGAAGTCAGAGGTCGCTGACCAGCTGGAGTTGGAGAGGCAGGTGACCTTGGGGGACTTGCCGCTGGCCATCACGTACCCCGGGCGACACTTGTATCTCAGCTCGATCCCGGTGGGGTAGGACTCCTTGAGGGGCGTGGGGGGCTCGGCAAAGACAAACCGCGGCGGCTGCTGGCAGACACCTGCGGGGGGGGGATGATGGGGGGGGGGCCTACCCTTAGCCCTTCCCCACACGGGCCCCTCCCCAGGTGGGTGGCGGGTCCATCCCCAGGTGGGTGGCGGGTCCATCCCCACGCAGCCCCGCTCACCCCAAACGCCGGGCAGTGCCAGTAGCATCGCGCAGAGCCAGCGCAGCGCCATTCCCGCTCCCGGGGCTGCTCCTGCTGCTGGTTCCGCTCCCGTTCCTGGTTCCTCTCCGCGATGAACAGGACCCAGCGCAGCAGCACGGCCCTTTCCGGAGCGGGCGGGGACCGGAGCGTCCCCTGACTCTCGTCACAGCAGCCACACCTCACCTCCATCATCTGAGTTCCCAGGAAAGGTGGGACACGCTGCTCTGGGCAGGAGTGCAACACGTCAGCAGCAATTAGCTGAGCAGCAGCAATTACCTGAGCAGCTGATTACATCCAGACTGCAAAAACATTCCAAGCACTCTGTGAAAATGTTTGATTAGTAAATACAAGAAAAAAACCCAAACAAACCATACTAGTATTGCTCTTTTTACACTCTGTTTATTTACAAAACAGTTTTACTATAAATACTGTCATTTTCACACTCCTCTCTGCACAGGAGGAAATGAATCTCAGTTAAAAAAAAAAAAAAAGTAGTTTAAAAAATACAAGTCTTGCAAGAATGTGCAAATAGGGTGTTTACTATGAAATTATTTTCCTAGTGGAAAAGAAAGTGAGGTTTTTCAAATTCAATAAATGTTTAAGAGCTGAAAAAGTAGGTTTTTCATATGAAAACAAACAAAAAAGTAGGGTCTGAACCAACACGGAGCTGAATTTGAAGTATGTTTGATTTTCCTGCTTCTTTACAAAGATATTATTGATTATGAAGTCAGACACTTGACTTCAAGTTGACTTATTGCACTTAGAACTTCATCTCTTAGAACATCAGGAGTTGGTGCAGCAGCTCTCCCTTCAGTCCCATCAGCCTCGTGCCGCTGAGGATGCTGCAGCCACTGGGATTTATCCTGCAACAGGGAAACGAGCAGGGAATTAGGGATGGAGGCTGCGTGCTGCAGCCCCGGGGCTTTGGGGGGAACATCCCTCCAGCCTGTGGTTTGTGGCATCTTGTCCCCCAGCCGTGGTGACCCCAGGAGTGTTCTGGGTGTCCCCATGCAGGTCCCTACCGTCAGATGCCTGGCGCTGGCAGAGGTGAGCGTGGGTGGGTGCTGTGCAGCTGGGGCAGACGTGGCAGCCGGGGGTGTGACGGGGGATGAGGTGAGCCAGGGTCCCCTCCCCGGCCAGGGGACACACGGGACAGCTCGCTGTGTCACTGTGGACAAGGGAGAGGTGCAGCTGGTCGGTGCAGGGAGGGCAGACAGGACCCCGTGGGCTGTGGAGAGAGAGCCAAGGGTGAGCCCTGATGGGTTCATGTTGGGAACTGCTCCTTGCCAAGCCACGCTGCACAGGCTCCAGCACCCATGAAAGCTAATTTATTAACAATTTCAAAGATAATAACTTTTTAAACACAAACAGAATCCCAGAATTGCCTGGATTGGAAAAGCCCTTTAAGGTCATGTAGTCCAATCATGAACCCAACAGTGACAAGTCCCCAACTAACCCATGTCCCTCAGCACTATGTCTACACGACTCTTCAATCCCTCCAGGGATGGGGACTCCACCACTGCCCTGGGCAACCCCTTCCAATGCCTCAGAACCCTTTCAGCAAAGAAATTCTTCCTCACATCCAATCTCAACTGCCCTTGGTGCAACTTGAGGCCATTTCCTCTAGTCCTGTCACTTTTTCCTTGGTTGAACAGACTCCCCCCCACCTCTCTACACTCTCCTTTCCAGGAGTTGGAGAGAGCCAGAAGGTCTCCTCTCAGCCTCCTAACTGAAATGGCTCCTCCAGGCTCAGGGCTAATAGCAAGGAACAGCATGAAATAAACGATTCATAAAAATAAGTTCATACGTAAGAAAGCTAAGGCAGGTGGCTGCACACCTCAAACCATGTTTATTTTAACCAAATATTTATTTGAATTTGCCTCTGCCAAGGATGACTCTGTTAAGGAAGCTTTGTGGTGCTGAGAGAGAACAAGACTCGCTTCTAGTCCATTCCTCTGTTCTTGGAAACTGCCCAAGCACCGTGTCCTTGTAGTTATCAACACTGTTCTGCAACAATCCTCACTGAAACCAAAGCAGTGCTCTCTAGCTACTAAGAAGAAAATTAACCCTCTCCCAGCAAACCCAGGACAGTCCCTTACAGCACCTGAGCTCTTTGCTGCTTAATAAAAAGCACAGCTCCATCATGGGCTAAAAGAGACAGGAGGGTGAGCCCAGTGAGGACAGCTGAGGAGCACAACCTGATTCAGAGATGCCCAAGGAAACTGCAGCAGCGTTATCCAACTAAACCTCACAGCAGTTTCACCTCGCTCTGCCCGCAGGCACCACACCGTTACCCTGACACCGAGCTGCAGGCAAACAGATCCAGTAATCACACCCCCATTGCTGTTCTGTTTTAAGTGGTTAACTCTCAGTTTTGAGGATGCCCAGTGCACACCGTGGTGCCCACAGCTGTGAGGAGCTGCTGGCACCGGCTGCACCACCCTCACCCCTGGTCCTGCCGGTGAGGTCCCCCCAGCTGCTCCCCAGGCACCGCGGGATGGGTCTGGCACTGGCCAAGGTGGGCACGCAGCCAGCTCTCACAGACGGGGCAGATGTGATGGCTGTGGTGGAGAAGCACCGTTGAGGACAGGCACTGAGTCTCTGAGGGAGACTCCAAAAGCACCCGTGAGGTCTGGCACCTCCAGCTTCCCTGGTACTAAAGAAACATTCCCAGCAGGATGAAAACACACCTGGGGCTGCAGACCCAACAGGGAATTAGCTCCAGCACAAACCTCCCTCGTTAAAATATATCATAGAGTCATAGAGCGTTGTGAGTTGGAAGGACCTACAAGGATCATTGAGTCCAACTCCTGTCCCTGAACAAGGACAATCCCAACATTCACACCATGTCCCTCAGGGCCTTGGCCAAATGCTGCTGGAATCTTGTCGGGCTTGGTGCCATGAGCACCTCCCTGGGGAGCCTGTTCCAGTGCTCCACCACCCTCTGCCTCAAGAACCTTTTCCTCATGGCCAACCTCACCCTCCCCTGCCACCTCTTCCTGCCGTTTCCCCTGCTCCTATGTTTCTATGCCTCTTCTAAACTGCTTCACAAATCCATACTCTGTACAGCCAGACCCCCAGTTCCCAACCTCACCTGCTCAAACCTGCAAACCCCATTACGCTCCAGGTCAGCGTTTCTCTCGCAGAGCAGAGAGGGGAAGCAGGGAGGGCAGCTCTGCATCCGTGCAACTGCCAGAGAGCAACATGAGTAAGGAAACAGGAGAAGCGTGTGCATGCTGAATGCTTTTTAAAAAGCACTGAAAGGACAAAGCACTCAAATTGTCCAGATCATCTTTGTTATAGTGGGGAAAAAAGCAGAGATTAGTGTTTGAAAAGCGATTCAGCGCTGTGATGCTCAGCACAGTATCAAGACAGGAAAGAGGTGGGAAGATACAAGGAGGTGCAGAATATCCTTGTTTTCTACTTGAATAAACACAGTTCTGCTCTACTCTGAAATGACTTTTACTCAAGCCCACCATGGCATCTATATTTTTAAGTAGAAGACAGACCTTTCCTGGTCCATGGGCTGCTCTACCTCACTCAGCTCCAGACCAGCTTCTCCTGCACTGTCACCCCTCGGCACATCTGCAGCTTTGGCTGGAGAGCTGAACGCAGAGAGGGAGAGAGAACAGCCTGAATCCACAGAACCTCTTTTTAATAAATAGCAAATAGTTTCTTCTGCTAAAACCAGACTTAAAGGAAACAAAGGAATTCAAACTGCAAAACGGGCTCTACCCAAGCATAGATGCTTTTTCCCACACAAGAATCATCACAGAATCACAGGCTGGTTTGGGTTGGAAGGGACCCTTAAGGGTCATCTAGTCCAACCCCCCTGCAGCGAACAGGGACACCAACTAGATAAGAATTGTCCCTTTTCCCCCATTTTGCTCTAGATGGACCCATGTGAGGGGAGCAGGAACAAGTGCCTGGTCGGTCGCGGTACCTGGTGCCCACAGGGTTTTGGTTCTCCCCGATGTCGATGCTGGGCACTGAGTAGGTGTGTGCTGTGCCGGGCTGGGTGTCCAGCCAGTCCTTGCAGGTGGCACAGCCGTGGCGCGTGGGCTCGGCATGGGGGGCCAGGGCAGCGTGCAGCCGCTCTTCGCAGGTGGGACACACGTGGCAACTCGTCGTGTGGCTGTGGATGAGAGAGATGGGATGGAATCCCTCCTGCTGAGCCCCGAGAGCAGCTGGCTAACACCAAACCCACCCGTGAAGCACCGTGAAGCTGTGCCTTCATCACATTGGCAGAGGTGTTGGCGTTTGAGAGTCAAAAACTGCGTAAGATGTGCCTGAACAAGTTTTTTGGGTTATTCTTTTTAGCAGGTAGATGTCTCAGATTGTCTTCATGTGAGCTGGGCCAGAGCTGGTTTCTTTTCAGCAGCCAGAACAGCACTGGGGTTTGGTTTTAGCTGGGATTTGTTATGAGAAAAACATTAATACCACACCGATGTTTGCATTTGTCACTGGAAGTTGAAGGACTTTGCATTTTGCTGATATAAAATATTGAGGAATATTGACCTGACTCAGATCCATGGGCATTGGGCTCTGCCAAGGGGCTGTTCCATCTCCTGTCCCCCATGGGCAGGAGATCCATGAGGGGCTCTTCCTCTCTTGCTCTCTCTGGCTTTGGCTCGGGCTCTGGCTCTCCCGGGATTGCGGTTTCGGGTCGGGATTGTGGCTCCTGCGGGATCGTGATCTGGGAACGGGCCGGGCTTGGTCAGTGGGTGCTGAGCAATGGCACTGGGTGTCACTCATTGGCATATTTAATTCCTATTATTATTATAATTATTTTTTAATATCATCATTATTTTAAATTTAATTTTATTTCAATTATTAAATTGTTCTTATCTCACCCTACAAGTCTCCAATTCCCAATTCTCTCCCCTGTCCCCTAGGGATGGGATGGGGGGGCAGTGGGTGAATAGCTGTGTTGGCTGCCAGCCCAGTGCCAGCCCAGTGGAACCACCACACAGATTTAGCCTCTCTGAGGCATTTATGCAGAGAAACAACATGCACTGAGGCAGACAGAGCTCTGCTTGCTGTCACCTCGAACGTTGTTTCAGCATTGCCTTCTTTCCCTCTTGTCAAGCCTGGCTCCTGTGCTCAGAACCAGGATGTAGTAGCAGCTCTTTGGTAGAGTATGGAACAAATTTTGGCTGCCAAACAGAACACGCCAAGTGTTGAATAGAGACAATTCATTTTGCATCAAGTGGGGTGGCTGCCCACGACAAGCAAGACTCTGCTGCCTCAACTATCACAGTTTCTGGCAAGAGATGAAACAGAATTTTAGCAGCAGCTGATGTTTCCAGTCGGTATCACTGGCTAATCCTACCCATGCTTGAGCTCACTTCAGTACCTGCTTATTCCAGCTCTAACATAATACTGTATTTCACAGAGAAATTGTTGTTTTTTCTGTGCAAACGGGGACAAACCCAGGGAGACACACAGCTTCTCACATCACCTTCCTGCTTAAGTGTTTTGGAAACAGAGTAAGAGCAGAACCCGTGTACAGAAGAGGCAAAGGAGGGAGTTGTGTGTTTTATCCCATACTACAATCAGAGGAAAGGAACAGAACTAAGGAAAGGCAAACTGATCCTACATCACATCCCAAAATAAGAGTGACTAGTTAATAAATTGTGGTCAGGCATGGTAAGGTTTGCAACTAAAAATAACACCAGTGAAATCCATGGGTTTAGTCAAAAAAGTGGCACAAGCTTTTGGGCAGATGAACAAACAAACCTACCAAAAATAGGAGTGCCACGGCACGGGCTGCTTCTCCTCATCCGTTATCCTTGGGTGCATCGGTGGATCCCTTCCCTTCATCTCCTGGCTCTGTAAAGGCATACTGTAAGAGCTGAAGAGACAGACAGGAGAAAATTCAGAGAGTAAAAAGCAAATTAGCAACATGGAAAAGCAGTATTAACCAGGCAATTATATACTGAAGGGGATTAGTCACGCTCAGAGCTTTAAACACCCAGTTATCCTCAGGAAAGTTACCATTGATGGGGGCAGCTTAGGCTCACTTACTGCTTTTTATTGCATTTCTGTTTCATGATGATGGCAGCTGGAATTCCAAGGAGTAACAGGACAGCTAGTAAACAAAAGTAAAAAAAAAAAAAATTAAAAATAAACAACTAATTTGGTATGTAAATTAAGTGGTATTTATTGAAGAACAGATAGAATAGGTAGAATCTTCTACCTGTTGCAGTTTGGTAGAAGACTGGCAGCAAAATTCTCTGCTCTGGGGCTGACTGTCACTACCCACAGGTTCCCTCTCAGCCAGGATAAAGCAAACCCCGTCCCACAGCTCTGAACACACAGAAACCACTGCTGACTGGGGTGCCACACTGGTCTCCTGAAGGGTGGGATCCTCATCTATTTAGTGCTTTTCTAGACAGCGCCTGTTTCTTTCCTTTTTTTAAACATACTCACCATTTTTAGTTCTTGATCTCTTTTGTAACAAGGATATTCCAAGTTTCACTAATCTCTTCTTTCAATGCCTGCCCAGGCCTTTTAAAGCAACTTTATCAATTAAAGAGTGACAGAATGTACAGTTTTTGGTTGGATTCTTACACTGGCTTCTTTCATTTCATCCCCATTGATGTAATGTTTTATATAAGACACAGACAATCCATCCAGTTGCTTCAGTGCTGCTGTACTATCCAACAGCAGAGAAACCCCCAAATCCTGAGCAGAGACCCTCAGTACGAGGGGTAATAAAATGGATAAACCAAAAAGACTAACTCCAGGTATTTAACAGCAAATAACAGCTTTGGGTTAGGAAAGTAAATTTTCAATTTTAAATTACTTACCAAAGCAAACAAGGATGGGGATAATTGCTAGGGAAGAAAATAACGAAACTGATGTTAAAAAAATGAACTCAACAATGCTGATAACTAAACAGGGAAGTTCCTTAATCAACACCCACAGAACAGCATTATTCAAACCCAGAAAACACTAAAACTGCTGAGAAAACACCATAAAACAATCTCTCGTTAACTACTACACACATCATTATGCTCTTCTTGAGTCCCTCACCCCACCTCTCTCCACTGATGGAGCTGAGGTCCATAGCTCCAGGCTGCCTCCACCCTCAGCAATGTCTAAACACAGCCCAAGAAACATGAGTGGTTTCTCCTGAGATGCTCAGGTGCACAGAGGGAGATGCAAGCATCACAAGTCCTACCCTGATTTGTGTCAGCTAAGGAGTCACGCAGCTGGGAGCAGAGAGAAAAGGGGATCAACCAGGGAACGAGCCTGTGTGAACCCCTTAGAAATGGGAAGAGGGACCCACCAAGAGAAATGAAGAAGGCACAGCGAGAGCAGAACACCAACAGTGTGTGGAGTCCCAGGTGCTCAATGTGGGTGCAATTAGAGCAATTAAAAGGACCCTGAGGCAGAAAGCCTCTCCTGAGCTCTTACCTAGCAAATAGAGGTTCTCTGCTATCTTCTTTTCCGAGGGTTCAGTATGGTTTGTCGCTGCTGCAGTGCTAACTAGAGAGAGAAAAAAATAAAGGAAACCCACTCAAAATTATACTTCATGTAATTTTCCATTTATACATCACAGATATAATACATCAGTGAGGTGTAAACGCAGCACGGGCAGGTAACTTGTGCATCTGTGGCTACAACAGTGAGAGCTGGGAGCTCTTAGTGACACTACAAGCCTTATGGATAGAGGACAGTCCGCCGTCCCACCTGGCTGTATTGCCCAGGTGTTGTAGGACATGAGATATAAATCCATTTAGAGATTCAGCCCACCAGCTTTGCAGTTCCTGATACACACTGCACACCATTTATTGAAATTCTGCCTGTTCTTCTTGAAGGGAAAAATATAAACCTGTGCACCATTGTGCTGGCGTTGTTCTTCAGCACAGCCTGGCACCTCACAAAGCACAGACTTGCTGACCACCGCTGCTGAAGCAGATGCTGCTCCCCTGGAAATGAATCCTACAGGAACATCTGTCCAAGCTGGGATCCTTCTCTTTCTGAGAGAAGGGAATTAGGACTAATTAACTGCACAGCAGCTAGAACAAGTCCAGAGGAGGCCACTAGGATGATCCGAGGGCTGGAGCACCTCTCCTATGAGGACAGGCTGAGAGAGTTGGGGCTGTTCAGCCTGGAGAAGAGAAGGCTCCAGGGAGATCTTATAGCGGCCTCCCAGTACCTGAAGGGGCTACAAGAAAGCTGGGGAAGGACTTTTCATAAGGGCAGTTAATGACAAAACAAGGGGAAATGGGTTTAAGCTGAAAGAGGGGAGGTTTAGATGAGATATTAGGAAGAAGTTCTTCACTGTGAGGGTGGTGAGACACTGGAACAGGTTGCCCAAGGAAGTTGTGGATGCCCCCTCCCTGGAAGTGTTGAAGGCCAGGCTGGATGAGGCTTTGAGCAACCTGGTCTAGTGGAAGGTGTCCCTGCTGATGGAAGGGGAGTTGGGACTGGATGATCTTTAAGGTCCCTTCCAACCCAAAGCATTCTATGATTCTATGAAAAACTGCTCAAGAACAGGATGATTATCCAGCAATGCTCACCCCTGCACTCGGGAGGAGACCCGCTCCACATGCCATCGACACTGTTCTCCGTTGTACATCGAAGAGTTTCATTCCCCACGAGCTGCAGCCCAGGGTCACACGTGTACATCACGACCGAGTCGTACACAAACTCCTCCGTGCCGTTGCTGTTGTGTGTCCCATTGGGAATAACTGGAGGTGGAGGACAAGAAACAGCTGGGGGAGAAAAAGAGAAACAGTTCTGGAGGTGGCACCTGGGATGTTCTTCTCCAGGATGTGAAGACAGCAAAACCCAAGGGCTGTTTGCACACACACTGGTGTTGCACCAGTCGTAGGGGCTGAAATGGGAGCACTGGCTGCCCTCTCAGCACACAGTGACTTTAAGGTGCCTGCCAGCCCGCTGCCCTGCCTGCACAGGGAGAGGGACAGGGACACCAGGGCCATTGGGCTGCTCATTTCCATTAGTCTTTCACGAGCAGAAGGCACAAGTGATGCTCCTGGCTTGTCCCTGCTTTTATCACAGCAGCTGGCTCCTTACCAGAGGTACCTACCTGACTTCATTTAGTAAAATCAACACTCGATTTGGTATTTCTGAATTGGAATATTTGCTATTTCCAGGCAAGCGCTGGACAACTTCACTTACCCCAACAAGCTGGAACTGGAGTCCAGGCAACTTCATCTCCCCGTCGGGAACAGCGGACGAGCGATGACGCTCCCTTTAACGTGTATCTGCAGGGGGAAAAGGCACATCCCCAAATCTGTTTGTTGTCACCAACCAAGAACACATCACCCCAAAGCAGGCAGAGCCCCTTGTCCCAGCTTGCACACCAGTGACTCTGACCAGGCAACTGGGATGCAGCGGGCAGCTGGCTTCACACTCACCCCTGGTTACAAACCACGTGTGCTCTTGCAAGGAACAGATAATCATTCGTAACAACTTTGCCATGTTCTGGATTTGTGGGAATACCACAAGATTTCCCTAAAAAAGAACAAGATTCTCCTTAGGACACTACAAGGATGGAGCTAAAACCCACAGATCTACTTCTCACGACAGTCTGGCAATGTCATATCAGGCACAGAATCATGGGATGGTTTGGGTTAGAAGGGACCTTAAAGATCATCTAGTTCCAACCCCCCTGCCAGCAGCATCTCACGCTAAATATCACTTAAAAAATAAAAGCAATCTTAAAATACAAATCAGACCTGGCACCCAAAACACAGCGCTGTGGATGCAGCTGCGGGAGGGCGTTGGAGAAAATGAAACGATGGGAGAAACTCACTTCGACACAGCTCAGGAACCTCGGACCATGTTAAATTGTCAAGACAAGTGCTGGTGAGGAGCTGGTCTGTGATGCGCTCGTAGCCTGGGCGACAAATATACTTCACCGTGGTATTAACAGCATAAAAATTCCGAATTTCATCTTCTTGTGATATCGTGGCGAACTGCACGTGTGGCGGGTCGCTGCAGCTACCTAGTGACCACAAAGACAACCAAAAAAGTAGAGTTACAAAGCAAAAATAGCAATATTCTGCATTCAACTATGTATCCACCTAAATCCAAGTGATAACACACAAGAGTGTGCATACCACGTATGGTTTTGAGAAGGTGATGGGCAATTTGTGCAATCCTAAAATATTCCTACATGACTATTTAATAGGAAATAGTTAAAATTTGTTAAAATTTGTTAAAATTTGTCCTCTTTCAATCGCTCACCATCACTGTGCTCACCCCAACCCCACCGCTGACGCATCTGAGGTGGGGAAGTGCAGGCAGTTCTCACGACAGTTGTTTGCAAACCCTCAGTGCCAAACCTTCCCCCTCAGTGAACTCTGGTGTCAGCAGCCAGCAGTGCCAGCCCCAGCTCTGCTCCTCTTTCCTCCACGTCTCCAAGCTCTGGATCTATTTTTATTAACACACATGGCTCCAACAGACTCAGGAAAAAGGGACAGGAGGAGATTCTCTGACCAGCAACTCGGCCGTGTGTCACTTGAGATGAGTCAGCCCTTGAAAGAGCGATTGCTAAAGCAGGAAGTGTTTCCACAGCAGCGTGTCTCTCTAAGCAACTGGTTTCCGAAAAAGTGAAATACTTACGACCACAAAACTCCTGGAGGTTGGACCACTGAGAGTTCGTGAGGCACTGGATGGTATCTGACAGCAAGGGGCGTTTCACGTAACCCGTGAGGCATCTGTACGTTACTTTGGAGCCAACGCTGAAGCTTTCCTGGTGTTTAGTGTCCTCGGGGGGCTCCGCGTGGGTTATATTTGGCAACGGCCCACAGTCACCTGTAGCAAAATAAATCATAGAATTATTAGATGTTGTGAGTTGGAAGGGACTCACAAGGATCATGGAGTCCAACTCCTGTCCCTACACAGGACAAGCCCAACATTCACACCATGTCCCTGAGGGCCTTGGCCAAATGCTGCTGGAATCTTGTCAGGCTTGGTGCCATGAGCACCTCCCTGGGGAGCCTGTTCCAGTGCTCCACCACCCTCTGCCTCAAGAACCTTTTCCTCATGGCCAACCTCACCCTCTCCTGCCACATCTTCCTGCCATTCCCTCTGCTCCTGGCATTCGTTGGTGGCCAGAGAGAAGAGATCAGCGCCTGCCCCTCCTCTTCCCCTTGGGAGGAAGTTCTAGACCACCAGGAGATCTCCTCTCAGTCTCCTCTTCTCCAGGCTGAACAACCCAAGTGACTTCAGCCTCTCCTCACACCCTTCCCCTCTAAACCCTTCCCCAATTTGGTGGCCCAGCCCAGGTTTAGTGAGGCTGCTGCCGCCTTCATGAGCTCCCTGGGCAGGGTGCAGCACCCACAGAGCCTGCAGGAGAGCACGGCACACGCACCCTGGGCATGGACACAACACGGCAGAGCACACGTGGAGTGGACACATACACATGGAGCACGCACAGAGCACATGCACAGAGCACACACACACCCATGGAGCACACACATGCAGAGCACACACACACAGGGAGCACATGGAGCACACATGGAGAGCACACACATGGGGCACACACACACAGAGCACACAGATAC